CTCCGGGAAGCCTTGGAACAGATCAGGAAGGAGTGGAAAACTTCTGAACCCGAGTTCTGTGGTCCAGGCTGTGGTGATGGATTCCTGAAGTTTTTGGGTGTCCAAATCTGGTACCGAAATGGCAGCTTCTTTCTCAACCAGGAGGACTTCGTGAGAGATTTGCTGAACCGAAGAGGGTATCAGATTGATGAAACTGGAAAAGGTAGTAACCTGCCAATGGTGAAAGAAACTCCAGGTGAAGAAGAGGAGGTGGATATTCCCTCCTTGCGAGCGGCTCAAGGTGCCGTAGGGGAGTTCCTCTGGGTGGCAATCAAAACTCGACCTGATTTGGCTTTCTGCACAAGCCAGTTGTCTTTGTGGACATCCCGAAGGCCGCGATTTGTGGTTAAAAAGGCTGAGGAGGTATTTCGATACCTTGCTGCAACTCCAACGTTAGGCCTGACGTTTGGTGCAATCGCAACATGCGAAAAAGAAAGGAATGAGGTGTTGCGTTATGGGCGAGGCGTCAAGGTGGTGGAGTCTTACGCGGATGCTAGCTTTGCAGCAGGTGAAAACGAAAAGAGCCACTCAGGAGCGGTGGTGGCTTGGGGTGATTGTCCAGTGATGTGGGCAACGCAGAGACAATCAACGGTGGCTTTGAGCACTGCTGAAGCTGAATTGCATGCGTCTATAGAGGGAGCAACGATGATCCAGTCGTGTACCCCTATAATTGCCGCTTTGGTTGGAACAGGTGAAGAATCGCTGCAAAAGGTGCTGTATACAGATTCGGTTTCGACGTGTTCAATCATTCAATATCCTGCTGGTAGCTGGAGAACAAGACACCTGAGAATTCGAGCAGCTGGTGTCAGGTCTCTGGTGGACCGTGGTTACATGGTGATAGCGCATCTTCGTGGTGAGTATATGATTGCTGATCTGTTGACAAAATTGATGAGTGGACAGGTTTATGCAAAGCAAAAGGCACTTTGGGGTCTCCAACTGTTAGTGCAAGGAACTGACTTGAAAAGGGCCTCTCTTGCAATGGCGGTCATGATGGTGGCTGCATCCCTGCAAGGGATGGCAACAGGTGGAGAAGAAGTGTCAGCTGCTGGTTTCTTTTGCTCAGAAGAAGGGGTGTGCCAGGTCGCCAATACATCTACGGTTATGGTTCTGGCTCAAGGTATTGAAATGGTTATCAACAATTCAGACCTTGTTGCGTATTTGGTGGCAGCAATCATAATCTGGGAATTGACATGGTGCCTCTTTCGGCGGCTGTACAAATGGCTGTGGATCAAGAAAGTGGTGGTTATTCCTGCGAGTGCCACTCTGTATACAACAGTGGGTGGGAACTGTATGCACGCAAGCAGTGATTGTGATGTTCTGCGATATTCACAGCCCAGGGCTAAGACGCTTTGCAAGCATTGCCTCAAGGGTGGTTGGGTGGTGAATGCTGAGTTCCTTGGTGAGGAACGGGCCGCTGGAACGTAAACTTTTTCAAGTTCGAGGTGAAGAAATCCTCAGTGGTAAGGGAAACGGCCAATGAGCTGAAGGGGCGTCCTGGAAGACGTAAAACCATAATGTGCATTTCAAGCAGCTGGCTGCTGCCTAAACGGTGGTTTTTGGCCCAGGATCTGCACCTCCAACGTGTCCTAGGAAATCCTAGGACAGGGGGAGTGCGGAGCTGCTGCTGGTATTGTAGAAAAGAGTTAGTGTTGGAAGTTGAAAGGGTTAATAAACCCGGAAATCATTTGATGGCTCAAGACTGGGCCATGTGCCTGGTAGTAAAAGGTGAGTGCCCTGTGGTTTGGGTTTGTTGTGTGGTTGATCCAGGGAAATCAAGGGTTTCTGTTGGGGTTGACTGTCTGGTTTCTCGTCCCCCTTCGGTTTCCCCCCCGAATAGGGTTTAGGGTTTAGGGACACAAACAAACTCTGATGCAGCGACCCAGGCATCCTGTTCTCCTGGGAGCTTCTGACGGCCCATAATCCCTTCTCAGCCCTCAGCACAAGGTGCGCTGGCACCCTTTTCCAAGAGACCTCGCCCGCCCAAAGCACCCTATAAACCATAAACCCGAAACCCTAAACCCGAAAGTAGAACCCTAAACCCTAAACCCTAAACCCTAAACCCTAAACCCTAAATGTGAGGGGCCAAGGTCCCCCCACCCCCCGGAAAGCGAATGAGAGTCCTTTGGGATGATCTTCGGCTCGTACGCTTTCCGCTCGTTGAAGGCCCCGTAAGCCTCCCAGGATGGGCCGATGAGGGTTTAGGGTTTAGGGTTTAGGGTTTAGGGCTTAGGCTTCTGGGACTGGCAAGGCAGAACTCCACCTCCGCGGACACGGACTGGCGCTGCTTGCGCTGCGCAGGCGGCCTCGGGAGCTGCTTCGGGGGGGCGTCTTGGCCCATTGGGGTCTTAGGGTCTTAGGGTCTTAGGCTCTGAGGGTCTTAGGGTCTTAGGGTCTGAGGGTCTTAGGGTCTAGGGTTTAGGGCTCTTGGATGTTTGGGGCCTGCGGCACTCGTTTGAGGCACGGAACTGGGCTGGGGCACTCCTTAGGCCCAAGATGGCGGAATGCAGCCAAACATGCAAGTAGGCAGTGGCCTGAAGATTGAATAGGATTGAAGTAGCCTAATAATAATCATCGTCATCAGCATGATAATAATAATAATGATAATAATAATAACAGCAATAATAATACTTTAAGGGTCGGAATAATTACGAATAGCGTTCCCTTCTGCTCCCTGTATCAGTTTACTACAGTTGCCCCAAAACCCTATTGTGGTCTTCAAGGCCCTTATATTACCCTAACCCTAAACCCTAAACCCTAAACCCTAAGCCCTAAACCCTAAACCCTAAACCCTAAACCCTATTACTCTAAACGCCGTGGTTCTCATGTAAAGCTCCTAGCAAGGCATTCAAGCCCAAAGGCGGTGGGGGTGGCACATCCTCGGCCTCATCATCACCTCCGCTGTCCTGGGTTTAGGGTTTAGGGTTTAGGGTTTAGGGTTTAGGGTTTAGGGTTTAGGGTTTAGGGTTTAGGGTTTCGGGTTTAGGGTTTAAGGTTTAGGGTTTGGCGCTTGGTCGAGGCTTCTGCGGACTCTGATCTAGCACATGTGCTTACCAGGCACTCTACTCTACACACACAGTTCTACTGCAATCCAAGACAGCCCAAAGCCAGATACAGGTGGACCCTGCTTGTCCTATAGTGCTTGAGCAACAGGACACAGACCGCCAAACTCCTAAGCCCTAAACCCTAAGCCCTAAGCCCTAAACCCTAAACCCTAAACCCCTAAACCCCTAAACCCCTAAACCCCTAAACCCCTAAAACCCTAAAACCCTAAACCCCTAAACCCCTAAAACCCTAAAACCCTAAACCCCTAAACCCCTAAAACCCTAAAACCCTACAACCCTAAAACCCCGGCCTCATCGCTGTCGTTTACGTCCTGCTTCGGCTTCGGCTCTTCGGCGGGGACAACGGTGCCAGCTGTCTCCTTGCTAGGGTTCAGGGTCTTATAACCTAAGAAGGGAAAAACATAAAATAGCTTCAAGGGCCTACCTAGAACCCCCTAAACCCTAAAGGGTCCAATGTCCAGGCGTGTTTCTTTGGTTTGTCACTGAGCTTTGCTGGCCTGCAGTGTGGGGCCAACGAAGGGCGCAGGACGGCAACCGGGATGATCGCAAAGAGATTGTACATTGCACTAAGTAGCGCAATAGGTCTGTAGAGTCGTTCTTTTCCTCTGCAAGCAGTAGAAACATCCAGCCAGGAGTAGTTCCAAGCTGCGACTGTTGCTTTGAATGTCAACTCGGAGCCGGGACCCTCTGAATCAGGGACAAAGAATTCTGAGCTGGCCACAAACAAACCTTGAGCCCGACTCCGTTCTGAACGGCTTTAGCCTCAAACAGCAAGTCCACATTCTACGAGCACTCGGCTGATGCCGGACCGCTGATGTTGGGGAAGTTAAAAGGGACTGGAAGGGCTCCGACGCAGGACACGGTTTCCTTGAGCGTGTTGACTGTGACTATGCTAGAATCTGCACTCTCTACGTGACAACTTCGGGGAGCGTGCCTGCATCTGGGCACAACTAGTCGCAAAACAGAGCTTTGGTCTGTACAGTATGTGCGTCACGCTCGCTCTAGTGGCCAAACTTAAAAGTAGGCAGGTGTGCTGCCATCATCATCGTACTTGCGCCGGCGGCGGCCTCCATCCTTGCCGTCATCATCGTACTTACGGCGCCGGCCTCCATCCTTGGCATCGTCATCGTACTTGCGGCGTCGACGCCCTCCATCACCATCGTCGTCCTTGCGACGGCGACGGCCTCCATCCATGCCATCATCATCCTTGCTGCTATCGTCGTCCTTACGGCGTCGACGCCCTCCATCACCATCGTCGTCCTTGCGACGGCGACGGCCTCCATCCATGCCATCATCATCCTTGCTGCTGTCGTCGTCCTTGCGGCGTCGACGCCCTCCATCACCATCGTCGTCCTTGCGACGGCGACGGCCTCCATCCATGCCATCATCATCCTTGCTGCTATCGTCGTCCTTGCGGCGTCGACGCCCTCCATCACCATCGTCGTCCTTGCGACGGCGACGGCCTCCATCCATGCCATCATCATCCTTGCTGCTATCGTCGTCCTTACGGCGTCGACGCCCTCCATCACCATCGTCGTCCTTGCGACGGCGACGGCCTCCATCCATGCCATCATCATCCTTGCTGCCATCGTCATCCTTGCGGCGGGGGCGACGGCCGCCATCACTGTCGTCGTCCTTGCCGCGGGGGCGACGGCCTCCATCACTGTCGTCGTCCTTGCGGCGGGGGCGACGGCCTCCATCACTGTCGTCGTCCTTGCGGCGGGGGCGGCGACCGCCATCACTGTCGTCGTCCTTGCGGAGGCGGCGGCGGCGTCCACCATCGTCCTTGTTGTCATCAAGGTCATCATCATCGTCCACAGAAGGCTTTGTGGTGTGGTACTGCTTCACGGTGGTGGTTGGCTCCTCGGTCGTCGTGGGCTCCTCGGTGGTCGTGGTTTTTTACTGCTTCACGGTGGTGGTTGCCTTCTCGGTGGTCGTGGTTTTGTACTGCTTCTCTGTGGTGGTTGGCTTCTCGGTGGTCGTGGGCTCTTCGGTGGTCGTGGGCTCCTCGGTGGTCGTGTCGTCGCCCCCTGCGCAAGCGTCGCAGTACTCGCCCAAAGCATCCACGATGACATCCACGCAGTCACCGCACTTGGACAGGCATTGGTTGTCCCCTTTGGCCCCCAACGCCTCACAGAAGCTCGAGCACACGTCATCTTCCGTGAGGCACCCCCCACGCTTTGTGGTGTTCACCTGGGCCGCCAGGATCTTGCCTTCCCGGGTAGGTTTCTGCAGCAAGCCCGCAGCTTCAGACTCCTGGATGAAGCACAGGTCCTTCGAACAAAAATCTTGTCCGGCGGCCATCATGCCCGCCACGATGTTCTTGTGCCGTCCACAGTGCTTCAGCACACACCAATTTGCGGACTTCGCATTTGGCAGCATGTCCTGGGAGCACACAATGCGACAGACCCATTTGGACGAATCGCACGTCTTCTCACCAGCCTGGAAGTGGAATGATGGGCAAGAGCTGGCCAGGGATGGGACAAGCCACGTGAGCAGGAGGGCAATCTCCCGCTTCATGATGCCACTGTCTCTAAAGTGTCTAATTAATGGCGGCTAGAGGTGTGATCTGAGAGCCAAATGGCCCCATAAACCCTAAACCCAAAACACTAATCAACAACTTTCCAAACTCAGCAGACACGATTTCTATCATCACTGTGGGGCTGCCAAGGCAGCCGGCGCAGGTCCGAGAGTGGAAAGAAGAGGTTGACAGGGTTTAGGGTTTAGGGTTTAGGGTTTAGGGTTTGGGGTTTAGGGTTTAGGGCTGACAGGACTTCGAGATGCTTCGAGTCATGTTGCCCCTATGGGCTTTTGTATTTGTCCGGCCAGGGCTATAGCCGGCGGCCTCCTTTCGGGTGTCCATTGAATGAGGGATTCTGTCCCCTAAACCCTAAACCCTAAACCCTAAACCCTAAACCCTAAACCCTAAACCATTTAAGTCGCTCCAAGGTGCGCCGTCGATGAGATCGTAGTCGGTGCCCTGGCTGTCTTTGCAAACGGCCTCCCGGAAACAGGGGGTTTCGGGTTTAGGGTTTAGGGCTTCGGGTTTAGGGTTTAGGGCTTCGGGCTTAGGGCTTCGGGTTTAGGGCTCAGGGCCTCGACTCTCACTCTCGCATGTGCGGGCGAGGATCCTGGTACTGAGTTCGGTGCACAGGTGTGGGGTTCTGAGAGCGCCCTCGCGTAACTTTTTTCGTGTGGCGTAGCTGACTCCAGAAAGGTCGCCCGTGCTTGGCCCTCGGACCCCGAAGCTCGAGGAAGGAAGTCTCGAGGGCAGACGCAGCAGAGCGCAAGTGAAACCAAAAGCCAGGATCTGTCGTCTGCTGGTTATCAACCCTAAACCCTAAACCCTAAACCCCTAACCCCTAACCCTAAACCCTAAACCACGGTATCCAACTACCATGAGCTTTCCGAGAACATCATGACCACTCAGCATGACGAAGTTCAAAGCACAGGCCTCTTGGTGCTGAAGGGGCACGTCGCGCCACGTTGTGCATGTGAGGGCCCGTAACTCAAGAAGCCGGACTTCGTCTTCGTCTGCGCCGAGCTTCCGGAGCAGTTCGCCAGCTTTCAGGGCACCATCGCCCATGGCTTCTGCGCTCTGCAAACCCTAAACCCTAAGCCCGTCTAGCTTTGTCTAGCTCTTTGGGGGTGAAGAAACCTCAGAGCAGGTTGAGCTCGCCAGTGCCGAGACCAAGCCGTGTGGACGCCGCAGCCCAGGATTGAGCGCAGGACATCTGTACAAGCCAGCCAAAGCTGGAGTCTAGAAGACTGATTGCTGGCTACGCGCCCGGCCTTGCTTCCAGATCTGCGAGTTAAGGGTTCTGCGTGACATTTTTGAGAACGCGTTGACAGCAAGGACGCATGGGAAACTCCCTGGGAGTTCACACGCAACCCCAATCCACTCAACGGTGTCTGCACTTCGATCTCAAGACATCATTAGATGACATTAAGCTTCAGTTCAGTACTTTGGTACTGGCACTTGTGTAGAGTGTAGAGGGGCATCAGGCGGCTAACTCAGCTGAGCAGTGCCGGCCACTTTGCTTCAAATCGAGCTAGGCGTCTTTTCAAAAATGCCCAGGGCTCAACCAAATGCCGCCAAGACTTCCAGAAGTCACTGCTCTCATCTTGCTACAGGCCTGCTTGTACCAAAACCTGCACGCTAAACCTAAACCCCTAACCCCTAACCCCTAACCCCTAAACCCTAAACCCTACACTACATTGAAATCAGACAGTCTGGAAACCTCAGGTGTGACATTAGCGGTTGCTGCCCCCCCCTGTGCCTTCACCATCGCAACACATCAGTCCCCATCGGCAACCTCGTCCTCGCGCCGTCGGCTGCTTGCCCCCTCCTTACTTCTCCAATAACCAAGGGAAAAAACTAAACTTTATTATTCCTACTAAACAAGGAAGCCCAAACAACTCAAAAATCAACTCTTGGCTAAGTAAGCCTCCTTTGACTGGTAGTTCAGGATGGTCCAGTCAAAGACGAAGTCATACTGGTAGCCTTCCCTGAAGAATAGATCCTTCAACAGTCGACGCAGGTAGGCGTAGTCTGGCCGATCTTCGAATCGCAGGCTGCGGCAGTAGTTCAGGTACGTGGCGAACTCGCATGGAAAGTGCTTGCACAGCACCTCGATGGGGGTGGACATCTTCTTTTCCATGATCTTCTCATACTTCTCCTTCTTGGAGTTCGCCTTCAAACCCTGCCAGGGGAGGCTGCCGCGGCTGAAGTACATCAGCACATAGCCAACAGCTTCCAGATCATCTCGCCGACTTTGCTCGATGCCCAAGTGCGTGTTGACGCTGGCATACCGCGCGGTGCCCGTCAGCGCCTTGTTCTCTCTGTAGGGGATGTGCTGCTGCGTCTTGGGATCCCTGTACCTTGTTCATTGTCGGGTTCATATTAATAACGTTTAAATGTAAATTCCTTATTGGGTTTAAGTGCCTTTAAGTACCCTTGAAAATGCAATGTTCCCCAACTATGACAAAGGTACTTCTTTGCCAGGCCAAAGTCGATGATGTGCACCTGATTGGCCTTCTTCCCCAGGCCAATCAGGAAGTTGTCGGGCTTGATGTCCCGATGTATGAAGTTCTTGGCATGCATGTACTCCACCCGGTTGATCATCCTACACTCCCCTTAGAACCTTAATAAAAATAATATTTCTAATATCCTCTTGGGCTTTATATATCAACAAAAATTTTGAGAAAAAAAATCCCAAGGGGGGATACAGCATCTGGTCGGCCAGCATGAGTGTGGTCTTGAGGCTGAACTTTCGGTTGCAGAAGCTGAACAGGTCTTCGAGCGACGGCCCCAGCAGGTCAATGACCATCACGTTGTAGTCGCCCTCTACACCATACCTTGTCTTGTATCCTAGGGGAACTAAAGGTTGACCTTTTTGGGAGTATAGGAATATCTTACCCGAAAAAAGGTTCAAGGTTACCTGTACTAAGACACCCTAAACCCTAAACCCTTAACACGAAACTCTAAACGAAGGTACCAGTGGACGTTGGGCACGCCCACCCCTCCCGCCAGGATCTTATAGAGCTTCGACTCGTAAAGCAGCTGGGGGTGCTTGGACTTGATCGACTCGAGCTTGATCGCTACCTAGACAGCAGAGAAATCGAAAAGTGCTTAAGGTTTAGGGTTTAGGGTTAGGGTTGCAGCTTGCAAAGGAAACTCAACCCAAGCAGAAAGCAATAGAATAGATGCCTACTGCGGGTCCTAGCTGCTTCCTCACTGGTCTGCACGTTGGTGCCGATGTAGATGTCACCGAAAGATCCGGATCCGATCTTGCGCCCAAGGCGGAACTTTCCACCCACTCGAAGCTCCATGGCTCTTTTTTGCACTTGAAGAGCTTTTTGAGAGCCGGTTGCTCTGAGAGAGCAGTGTGCGCTGTGTGGGGGAGGTTTAGGGGTTTCGGGTATAGGGTTTCGGGCAAACATGGTTGGGGCGGGGGGGGTTAGGGGTTCAGGGATTGGCTCGCCGCGAAAAGCCAAGCTTCGGGGCTTAGCTCTCTAGGGTGTGACCCTAAACCCTAAACCTTAAACCCTAAACCCTAAACCCTAAACCCTAAACCCTAAACCCTACGAAACACCCACATCACCCCAGGGAAAGCTCCGCTCAGCCCCCACCGCCCTGCGTCCCAAAACCGCCTTGAAACCCTGGCATCCCGCCTCCCCCCTCATCATCCCCAACCCTAAACCCTAAACCCTAAACCCTAAACCCTAAACCCCAAACCCAAGCCCCAAGCCCTGGCATCCCTCCTTGGGCTTCTGCTCACGCCCCCCCCCCCCCCCCCAAGTTTGACCACCTATAAGTGCAGTCATAGTTCTAGAACATAATGTTTAGGGTTTGGGGTTTGGGGTTTAGGGTTTAGGGTCTAGCGTTTAGGGTTTAGGGTTTAGCGTTTAGGGTTGGTCAGTTCTAAAAATTAAGGTCCGAGGATGGCCCTGAAAGCCCTCTGAAACATATTCCTGAATATGATCCTCTTTAACCCAATAAGGGAAAATGTAAAATGTCCCGAGGGCCTACCTAGAGTCCCGTCCCTTTTTGGGGTACCCTAAATAAGAGGGGCCGCCTTATAAACGCCTTATAATTAATAAGGACCCCCCAAAAGGGGCCATAATTTACCGAAATCACACATGTGCACATGTAGAGGTACCCTACGTATCGCCCCAGTTTCCTTTTGTTTTCGAATCTGAAGGACCGACCCACCCCCCCCTCCCACCCTCCCCCCTTTTTGCTCTCCCCCTAACACCCCAAGCCTTCATCTCAATTTCTTCGGGCTTCTAGAGATTCGCTGAGTTTAGAGGGTTTTCGGCTCAGACTCCCAAACTCATGCATCAGGTTCTCAAGGGAGGGGGCAACTAAGAGACCGCATCCTAAACCCTAAACCCTAAACCCCTAAGCCCTTTTGAACCCAGGCTCGGACAAGCCCTAAACCCTAAACCCTAAACCCTAAACCCCTAAGCCCCTCAAGGCTGCCTCAAGGCGCTTGATCATGAAGTCCACCGGGTCTTCCGGTCTGCTGGCGACCATGTCCTCGAGGATGGCACTTTTTGCAGAGAGGCAGGCATCTTTGGACCCCAAAACCGCAATTTAGGGTTTAGGGTTTAGGGTTTAGGGTTTAGGGTTTAGGGTTTAGGGTTTAGGGTTTAGGGTTTAGGGTTTAGGGTTTAGGGCAAAAAAACAAACCTAGAAACCCATCAAACCACAGAAACACCAAAACCCCTCAAAACCTTAGAGCCCCTAAACAAAAAAAAAAGCTCCCCAAAGAATCAAAACAAAAACAAAAAAACACACCCTGAAGGGATCAGAGGCCTGAGGATCTTCTCTTGGGGATCAGAGGCCTCTTGGGCTGCAAGTCGTTGCGGGTTTGCCTTAAGCCTTAAACCCTAAACCCTAATATGAAAGTCGCGGGGTTGAAAGTCTTCCGGTCCAGAAATTCTAGGGTTTAGGGTTTAGGGTTTAGGGTTTAGGGGCGTACGAGGCAGGCACCGCAGCTCAACACCTCAGTGTGTCTTCCGAGAGGGCCGATGCCACCCTCCCCCACCACCGTGCCAAAAAACAAATGGGTTTAGGGTTTAGGGTTTAGGGTTTGGGGTTTAGGGTTTGGGATTTCGGGTGTAGGGTTTAGGGTTTAGGGTTTAGGTAGTGTTTGGGCTCAGCTTCTTTTTGCTCGCCATGGGGGGGCTACAAAACCCCTAAGACCTCAGAACCCTTCAAGCTTGCGCCTGCATCCCAGACACCCTCAAGACCCAAAAGCTACATGTCTGACCCTGGAACCTAAATAAGAATAGACAATAGAATATAAAAGTATACAAATTTGAGGTACAAAAATATAGTAATCCAATGATGCATTAAGAAAATAAGATAATAACAATAATAAACAACCATAGATAGTAATGTGACAATCTATAATAAATATCATAACAATGTCATATACACTATAATGATATGAACACATGAAAACACTAGCGGCATATTCCAATAACATTCTGCCGGCAGTGACCGGAAAAGCCCCTTTGCGCGGCTGGGGAAGAGGGCTGAGGTCGCCGAGGTAGAGCCGATTGCCCCCCCTGAAGTCCGAACAGAAGGGGTATATACGGGGTATATAAAGGGCATATAAGGGTTTTAGGTTTGGGGTTTCGGTATATAAGGGGGGCATATCTAAGGGCTTATAAGGGGTATATAAGGGCCCTTACACCCTGAACCCCAAACCCTAAACGCATCTTGCTTGCTAGCTCGTCCTGCAACAGTTCCTGCATCTGCCGTAAGACGTCGTGGTTGTCCAAATACGTGCGCATCCTCACTGCGAGGCGGCGAGGCTGTGAACCCCAGATGACATGCACAGGAAAGCCCTCCCTAAACCCTAAACCCCTAAACCCTCAACCGTAAACCCTAAACCCTCAACCGTAAACCCTAAACCCTAAACCCGAACCCCCCCCCGCCCCCCAACTCTAAAGCCTAAATGCTGACCCTTTTGCACAGGCTTGCCTAGAAAGTGGAGGATTGCAATTGCCATGTCGGAGGAAGTAGGGTCGAGCGTTTAGGCTTCCCGTGGTGTCCTTTTTAAAGCCCCCCAAGGGCTCTATCTGGGCTTCTTGCAATTAGGGACCCTCTTTAGGGTTCATTCCTATAACTAGTCCCAAGAGTAACCCAGGAATAAAAAGGGGTGCCTGTTTTGGTTTAAAGGGGCTCATAACGAAACCTAAACCCTGAAGATAGGCTGTGCGTCACTTTACGGGTTCTATGAGATATCATCATTGCCTCATTGGACCTCAAACTCTTTTTTAAAAAGCGCCGGCCTAACGTTAGAAGCGCAAAGAAGCCCCAAAGTAACCAATTCGTTGGTGTTCTTTTTTGCCACCCGTCTAGCCATGCTCCACGGGGCAGGGTTTAGGGTTTAGGGTTTAGGGTTTATGGGTTAGGGTTTAGGGTTGAAGCCAGCAAGACACGCTCGCAGACCATCTTGCAGATGTGACAAAGATTGGCAAAGCCAGCACACCCTTCATGTCCCTGCAGCAGGCGTGTTGGGCTCACGCCCCTTAACCCTAAACCCTGAACCCTAAGCCCTAATGAACCTGTAGGCTGCTTCCTGCCAAACCCTAAACCCTAAACCCTAAACCCTAAACCCTAAACCCTAAACCCTAAACCCTAAACCCTTTTGCCTAAACCCTAAACTCTAAACCCGCCGAAACCCTTAACCCCAAGCCCTGTACCCTTAAGCCGGGCATCATCAAAGCTGTCTGCAGCTTCCGGGAGGGCGTGCTGGTGGCGCCCACAGCAACTTCGGCCGCATCTTCCTTTGGCGCCTCTTTGGCCAGTTTAGGGTTTAGAGGGTTTAGGGTGTTTAGGGGGTTTAGGGCGTTTGGGGTTTAGGGCCGGGGTTCTTGATTAGCAGTTCTGACTGTCGGGTTGGCATGTGAGGTTCGTGGCCGGGGTTCCCAAACATGCCCAAGCCCTGAACCCCCTGAACCTGCATCAGGCAGGTCAACACATCTTCACCCCGGCAGACACGAACCCATGCCTTTAGACTGACGCCCTTACGCCAGGGAGGGTGCCAACCCCAAACCCTTGACCCTTAACCCTAAACCCTAAACTCCGGATTTTGAGCCTCCGAAGTCTCGCGGATCTGAAACTTGAGCTTCACCTCCTGCAGGAGAGCGAGCGCGCTAGGGGGATGCTCTGGGGGGCAGAAAACGGGGGAATCGGGGGGGGGGGGGGTCCTCATATATTGGGATGTCCCCCGTTATACTAACAATACTGAGTTCATAAGAATCATATAGAGTATTTGGGGGGCGGGGGGGGGGGGGTGGGGTACATTAGGTACCCCTTGTGGGATTCCTAGAAATGAGAAGGGTGACGGTCCTCTCGGATTCAGGCATTGCTTTGTCGGTGATGGGGGGCGATGCCCGAAAGGAAACCTCCGAAACGCCTGCAGCATGCCCTCGCAAGCCCTAAACCCTAAACCCTAAACCCTAAACCCTAAACCGTCAGAGCCCCCGAAGATGCTTCACCAAAGGATAAACTTTCCGTGGGCTTCGGTTCCAGAGTAGGCTCCTCATGCACTCCCAAATTCGGGGCGGCGGCGATCGGTACCTGCATGGCCAAAACGGCAGATTCAGGGTTAGGGTTTAGGGTTTAGGGCTTAGGGTTTAGGGTATTCGGTTTAATTGTGGGTCATGCCACAGTCTTGAACTCTAACGCTCTCTCTGTCCTTGCTTCGTGTTTGTTGATCTCTTCCTTGCCCTAAACCCTAAACCCTACACCCTACACCCTAAACCCTAAACCCTACACCCTAAACCCCTCCCACCTGGGAGGAGCCGCCCGAAGGCGAGTCCAACTGAGAGACGCCCCCTGAGTTTTTGTGGCCTCCTGGGATCCCACTCCCGAACGCCCCACCAGCTCCCCAAGCTTGGGACGTTCCCCCTAAAACTTACGGCCCTTCATAGGGTGTATAGTAACCCCCTACTACAATCTCTACTAAGGACTGTTCGTATAAGGGGGAACATCCCAACCCCAAGCCCAACCGTGATTCCATGATCTCTGGGTTCCAATTCTGCCCTCTGTGAAGGGTTGGCTCGTTGGCTGGGGACTTGTCCAGGTGCCAGTGACTCCCTCCCTCTGTTTCCAACTACTAGCCTACTACTGGCTGAAGAACCCCAAACATAAAGAGAGATCCTTATAAGGGTAATGTTTAATGCAAGAGGAGGTGGAATAGACAAACTATTCAAGAAATGTTGCCCGCGCCAACAGGTATTAGCTCAGGGCTGGAAGGAGAATCGCTATAAACAGGTGTAGGTGTTGAAGTTGTAGTCCAGGTGATAGTATCCCTATCAACGGGTCGGGTCCAGGGGCCAATCCTTTCCCAACAGAGAGCCACCCTTGTATCGCGAGTACAAGAGGATACTCAGGCTTGCAAGACCTGAGGGGTGTATAAGCGTATTGGTCGATACCGCCTAGGTTTCCCTTATGGCGTTTACCAACTTCCACCTTATACTCTCCGTCTCCTCCTCCCCTGGCGCCTAGGTTTCCCTTATGGCTTTCCAGTATTAGAAGAGAACGAAGCAGGGCTAGGGGCCTGTACAAAGAGGGCAAAAAGATCTTTTCTACACCGGTGCTTCAAGAGCGCTCTTGAGCAGGCACGTGCTGCGGTTCGAAAAACTGCTCAATCACTCCAATAAGAAACTATACACGTCTGACAATCACATGAAACATGACCGAGGCATGAGGTATCAGAAGCAGGTCCTCATCATCATCACCTGGTATTCGGTCATCTCACATCACATCGCATCAGATATTATGATCTCCTTGTCCTCGTCCATGACGTATTATTGGCCGCTTTCCATTCATCATCCATCATCCATATCTGTCATGCTCATGCCCTAGCCCGAAACTGTTCAGATGTCAGATCTGTTACACAGTAAAAGTAACTTATACATGATGCGCCAAACACCCCCCGTGATGGGAGCGCCTAGCGTACATCATGAGCGATGAATTAGCGATGTTACACGAGGTTCACTTCTAGCGAAACACCACACAGCGTGGAGCACGATATCGTGAGCTCCCCGGCCTCTTTGAGGCCAAGCGATCCCACCACCACCCGCCAGTTATGGGATCTCCAGATATCAGTGCCCCGAGAAGCAATAAAGCCTCCGTGAACCAGCGTATTCATCGCCTTGGCGCGACAACCTTCTGTATCTGTATGTCGGCCGTCATGCATTAAATCTTTCCACTCGGCATGAAAATGTATCATAGAATATCATCTCCGCATATCATAAAATCTACACGCCCCTCTCAACCGTTCATTCAACTCAGCACAAGAGGAGGTCAACGTAGTCCCAGCTTCTTCTCAGGTCTTACTGGTGGCCAGCCAGGCCTGTTCTTCACTTCATTGTCATCCATCACGTGGTTTCGACTTCGTTGGCCCTGAGGTCTTACTGGTGATCAGCCAAGCCTCTGAACCCTTTCTTTGATGACTTCACATTGACGCTTCAGGGCCTTACTGGTGATCAGCCATGCCCCAACAGCAGCGACCATCCAGTTCGTCTTCTCGCAAGCGTCATGGCTTCTCCATTCAGCTTGTCGACCTTGCTCTGAGTTCTTGGAACCATTTCAGTCGTCACCGCGGAGAAGTCCACCATATCTTCTTTCGCATCATTCAGCCCATTTCTTTCTCCCTTCTTCCCATGGCATTCGTCCTCATGTGAGGCACCCATGCGCAACGGACTCAACTTGTGTGAGCCGTGCCAATATCATATAGCCCAAGTATCATCTCACCTACATCACTCGTTCTTTCCACCCATCGTCATTCGATCTCAATCCTGGCGTGTTCCTGGTATCACCCATTGTCTTCCTGCAATCTCTGAGCTTCAGGCACCGATATCAAGGAGAATTTGCGCGGGAAGGCCAAAACAATCTAATATAAAATCGGGACAGTGTTGTTCAACTTGAGGGCCACTTCCGCGTGGTTTAGGATGACACGATAAGTCGCGCGGAGAATATTAAGCTTGTCCAGGTGGGCAAAATCCCGAAGAATTTGCGTGGGAAAGCCCAAAACAGTCCTGTATCAAATCGGGACAGCGTCGTTCATCTTGGGAGCCGCTCCTGCATGGTTTAGGATGACAAGGTATGTCCCGCAGAGAACGTCAAGCTTGTCCAGGTGGGCAAAATACTGGAGAATTTGCGCAGGAAGGCCCAAAACAGTCCAGTATCAAATCGGGACAGCGTCGTTCATCTTGGGAGCCGCGTCTTATGATCTTCCCATGGCTGCTGTCCTCACCTTATGCTCCGAAACGCAACTATCTCCATATGCGTGGTACGCGCCCATATCATCAGGTTTCTCTGCGTTGCCTCTTCTTATCAGCCTTCGTCCTTGCCTTATTATCCTTTACCTTCCAACCTGGAGAAGCCCTTCCTGACGTATCCAGACAGCAATGCTCTCCGCGCATTCCCTTCTTGGAGTATCCTGGCAGCAAAGCTCCGCGTTCTACATTTCTACCTGCAGTATCCAGGCAGCAAGGTACTTCACTCAGTATACGCTTGGGTCATTGTAGGGCTGGACGATAAAGCTCTGCACTGCGTACTCCTCTTTGACGCCAAGCGTTCCCACCATCATCCTTGCTGAGCAACTTTGATCGATGGATATCCTGGTCCGCTCTTCGGCTATCATATGCGCTATTCCGACATTCGATTCGACAGAGCCGATATATCATCCAAGCCTCTCACACCGCGATATAAGCAAAACCAACGCAATCGCACTCCCACCAATGACAGATTCGCCCCCCGATAAGCAAGACTTAGAAACATCGCCCTTCTCGAGCTTCGTCTCCCAGCTTGCGCGCATGTTCGTTCCAGCACCTGAGGGTGCTTATTCGCCTCCATTCTTCTCGTCCTCCTCGGCATTGGTACGATCATCAGCCGCTATGAAAATCTCCTGTCCCTTTCCCAAATCATAAACATGGACTCCAAATCTTCTATCCAGACGTATCCATATTCCATCAATGCGGACGACATTCCACTCCCTCCAAGAGCGTACTTCATTCCACCTGTCACACCTCGAAGCGTCAAACGCTTTCCGTCGGCGCTGCGTCTCGCACCACCCGTAAGGACAAAATGCAAGACAGAGGATCCCATATTCCATCGTGTACAACTTGAAAGGTGGACCATGCGAAGACATATTATCTTGTCGTCTCCTACGCCGCGGAGTCGCACACCATCCTCCATGCATAGTGCTATATTCCCCCCGCGTACTTCGCTTCAGCTCGACGTATACCTCTCTCCATCCACAATTTCCACAAGCCATTTGTCCCATCTCACTTCGCGTGGACCTTATAACTCACACGACACGCAGAACCGCATCCGGGGCCAACCCTCTTGAAAATCAAAACTGAATATCATATACATCCAGCGAATATCATATACCCAACTCCGGCGGCCAGTTCATCCACACACCATTCATCCGACTTTCCTGCTGAACGATCTTGACCCGAGGGATTTTGTATTATCTTCCACCAAGCAAAACTTGATGGTATCACCGCCCTCTCGTCATCACCGTATTCGCCGTAGTTCCCCCCGATATACAAAACTCTGCAAAATATCATAATGGAGGATTTCATACCATCCCCTAATAAGCAAGACTTGACGATACCACCACGCTCAAATCATCTGGTCCGTGACGTACCAAGCGCCATAGCCGACATATCATCCAAGCCAGGCATCAGCAGATAGCACTCTCAACAATGACAGATTCGCCCCCCGATAAGCAAAACCTAGAACCGCCACATTCGCTATCAACGTTATGCATTGGAAGCCATCCGAATCATGTATCGACTCAGCAGGACGCACCTGTATTAATTCTCTGGGCAATGAAGACGAAGAAGACGCTGATATCATGTCCTGCTTGTATCATACACCGGCCCTGATTGCCTCCGACACGTTTCGCTGTCCATCACGTTCGTTCGTGCGTCTGCGATTATCCTATCCCTTTGCGAGTCTCCAGCCACCACCAAGCATACTGACCAGGCTTCCGTATCACCCCGTTCTCAAACACCAGCGCACTCTCCAGGACAGTCGCCGTCATGCCTCTCAGCATTCGGGGCCTAAACCTCGAGTCGGCCCTCACCCATATTCCACCAACAATCTCGCCCTCATTCTTGAGTGGCCTCCATATAAAATCGTTCTTGCTTGCGGAAGTTTTGGGATACCCCCCTGCATGATCATATCTCCGCTCCTTTATTTTCTTGCTATCATATTCCTTCGCCACGTCACCAGTATCATCATTCTCACCAAGTCTGTTGTATCCACTGCCATGCCGTGAAGACGAAGTCCATCCTTCTGTCCCTGTATTATCATTCACTTGCGCCATATGGTATGCGTCACTTCGTTCACCAAGTCGTTCATATCTATCACTTCTTGAAGACGAAGCCCCACTGACATTCCCAACCCTACATACCCTCCGTTCGAGTTGGGCGAGGCTCTCGGTGAGCGGATTGCTGTTGGGCTTGGTGTTTGCTATCATTGCTCCCTTCTCCGGGCCCGGACGGTTGGTGTGTTCTTTGCATCTGGCTGCAGGGGCTGCGCATTTATCCACGGCCTCAGGGTAGCGGCCCGCCCCCATGGGAGACCCATTCCTCGCGAGTCTTCTCGGCTCGCCAAAAATCCAGCCTGCGCTCAACCCTACTTTGTATCCATGCATGTGTTCTTGCGCTTGCCGGTAGCTCGTGCCATTTCTCCACGTCGAAGGTCATCACGGCTAGGCTCTCTATCTTCCTAAACAGGTGAATTCCGAGCTCAGCATCTGACCATGCGCATGACCTCGAAGCCTTGACTTGCGCTATCAGGACTCTCCACCTACACATAAAACGCTCCAACGACTCCTCTTCGGTCTCGGTATATGTGGGCAGACATACCATATTTATGATCGCCTGTGTAAACATTGCCTGTTCATGCGCACTGGAAACCTCGAAGTGTTCGATAATTATCATCAGCGTTCTCAAAGCCGTCATCGGTTTCCCGCTCAACTGCTGACACTCAAACGCCCTCACCGATATTTTTGCTGCCAACGCAGGCGATCGAATCGCCCGCCTCAAAGCCTCCAAGAGCTGGTATTCGAGAGCAGGATATTTCAGCGCCGCATCGACGGTCTCCTCACTGTGCTCCCTGGCCCTTTTCACCATCTCGAACCCGTACTCCCCGTCATAGATGTATGCTCTACGTGTAGCCATAGCAACCTCTCCCAGCCACAAGTTCACACTCATGGGATCGGGCTCCGTATCAATATCAATCTCGTTGCATTTGTCTATTCCTCGTGCGTCATACCACTGTGCCCCGTATTGGATTGGTATCTCAGACGCGTGCCCAACATCGTTCATGCTCCCTGCACACGATGCTCCGTCGCCCTGCTTTGAAGTTGATTCATGTCTAACCCTCTTCATCAACAGTGATATTTCACCCCACATTGTATCCATCTCCCGCTTGAGACCTTCCTGTCGATTCGCTTTGTCGACCTTTGCGCCCATATCACGTATCATCCGTGCCTGCTGCTGCTGTTCTTCCCTCATTTTGCCTACGACACTATCAATCTTTGCGCCCATATCATGTATCGTCCGTGCCTGCTGCTGCTGTTCCTCCCTCATCTTGTCTATTACATGCTCATATTCCCTCATTTCTCGCTCGCGTGTGTGAAGTTCGAGTGCGAGGCGCTCGTTTTCGCGGATCAGGTTTTGGTGCGTTTCACCTGTGACGCCGTTCTGCGTTTCAAGCTCCGCGATTCTCCGAACCAATATGCCTTCGTTCTTGTGCGCTCGGACCCTCGAAGTTCATCCTCTATTCCAACTATCTTCTCGCGCACCTTTGCTCCATCGGTATCACACTTCTCTACTGCGCTTCGCATACTACTGACGTCGCTTTCAACGCGCATCAGTTTCGGAGCCATGAGTTCAACCCGCTTGGCTATTCCCTTCACCTCGCCGCGCATCTCGCTATCATCATGCTTGCCCGTTCCCCGTTTCGAGTCATTATGCGAGTGGCTCGTCACATCCCGGATGCCCTTCAGCTCCTCCTTGAACCAACGCCGTAGCTTATCCATCCCCTCATCGATTCTTACTTGGATATTGCGTTCAACCTCGATGAGCTCAGCGCGCTGTGTGAGGGACTGCTCTTCAACCACCTCAAGCCTATTGCAGACACTCTCGATACTATCTCGCATCCCTTCTACCACCTGAGCGATTTGCGTGGTCTCATTAACAGCAGTCTTGATGCCCAGGATCACTCCCTCCAAAACTTCGAGCCTGTTTTCCATTTCAGCGTCTCTCTCCTTATTGCTTCCTTTTGATATCACAGGCGGTGTCCATTCTGTCCCAGTAGGGCTTATTCCGGGAGGGGTGCATATCATGAAGTTGCCTTGGCTGCCCGTAGGGGTCTTGGGGATACTCGGTAGCGCATCCGTATCAGCAGCCCGTATTCTGGTCTCCACGTCACTCCTCGATGGAGATGATTCCTCCTGACTGCCACCTCGTATCAGTTCCTGCCATCTATTCACTTCAAGTCCGTCTGGAGTATGCGTACTTGATGTGTGCCTGGACGCGTCTCTACCCCTATTGCGCAACTCCACGCGATGGCCCTCGATGAACGCCCTGACAAACTCGTCCTCCATGTACTCTCCGGTAGTATGGAAACTATGAGCTAACTCCACTGCTCTCTTTTTATCGGAGTCGCTCTGCTTCTGCGTTATCCACTTATCCACACCTATCATACCCTCAACAACGCTTTTATGGGGTCGTATCATCGCTTCGGTATTAGGACCTCCATTCGCGGCTGCTTCCCGGTCCTGAGCGGTCTGGGAGTGCCGGGTATTATCCAAACATGATATCATCTTCGAGTTCTTCGTCGCCTGCCGTCTAAGTTCACCCAGATCGTCAGAAAGGCGTCTCTGTTTAGACGAGGCGTCAGTATCAGACTGTTCCAACTTCTGGAGTTGCTCGCGGATGTCCTCAACTTCCTTCTTGAATCCGCTAAATGAGCTATCATGCCTATCATACGTGGTACCCAGTTCTTGTCTAAGTCGACTGTGCTTCCTGCCCATATTATCCAGTGCGTCAGTATCATGTGCATCCATAACAGCCAAAGGATCTACGTTTTCCATATCAGCAATGGCTCTCAAGGTATCATTATCATCTGTGTCCGGACTATCATAAATACCACGCGCACCATCTATCAATGCCATCGGTCTCAAAGGATCCCAGATATCAGTCGCCGACGCGTCCTCAAACTCCAAAACACTCGATCCCTGCGTATCTGCAGCTGCGTCAAGGATCGCACGCAAATCCGTATTATCATCCGCCATCTCGTCCACGATGTTGCAACAAGAAAAGGAAAAATTTATCGCGATGTGCCCACTCACAGCCAAGCCAACAAGGCTCTTAACCTGCAAGAGGAGGTGGAATAGACAAACTATTCAAGAAATGTTGCCCGCGCCAACAGGTATTAGCTCAGGGCTGGAAGGAGAATCGCTATAAACAGGTGTAGGTGTTGAAGTTGTAGTCCAGGTGATAGTATCCCTATCAACGGGTCGGGTCCAGGGGCCAATCCTTTCCCAACAGAGAGCCACCCTTGTATCGCGAGTACAAGAGGATACTCAGGCTTGCAAGACCTGAGGGGTGTATAAGCGTATTGGTCGATACCGCCTAGGTTTCCCTTATGGCGTTTACCAACTTCCACCTTATACTCTCCGTCTCCTCCTCCCCTGGCGCCTAGGTTTCCCTTATGGTTTTCCAGTATTAGAAGAGAACGAAGCAGGGCTAGGGGCCTGTACAAAGAGGGCAAAAAGATCTTTTCTACACCGGTGCTTCAAGAGCGCTCTTGAGCAGGCACGTGCTGCGGTTCGCTGCACTGCTCAATCACTCCAATAAGAAACTATACATGTCTGACAATCACATGAAACATGACCGAGGCATGAGGTATCAGAAGCAGGTCCTCATCATCATCACCTGGTATTCGGTCATCTCACATCACATCGCATCAGATATTATGATCTCCTTGTCCTCGTCCATGACGTATTATTGGCCGCTTTCCATTCATCATCCATCATCCATATCTGTCATGCTCATGCCCTAGCCCGAAACTGTTCAGATGTCAGATCTGTTACACAGTAAAAGTAACTTATACATGATGCGCCAAACATTTAATAACGCCGGGGATTAAATGAACATTTTTTGATGTGTTAGGCTTCTTCAGCATATAGTAGTAGCTTCTGTCAGCAGTAGTTAAGGGCTGCGGGAGAAGGGCGGCCCCAACCGGCCCCTCTTTCCCCGGCTTCCTTCCCTCTCCCCCGGGAGCCCCCTTTTCAAGGTTCCTCAACCCTGAACCTTGGTTCGTAAACCCTTGTATCCAAAGCCCCTTCTAAACCCCGGAACTAAGGACCACACCGGATGCACGAGCCAAAAGATTTTCGACAGAAGACAGCACTCGTGGCCCTAAACCCTAAACCATCCTAAACCCTAAACCCTAAACCCTAAACCATCCTAAACCCTAAACCCTAAACCCCACACCCCACAGTCTCCAAGCCGGGGAGCTTCGTACACGTCTTGGCCTGGCGCCACATCGAAGCTGTAGCTCCCAATCTGCGTCATCCTCGGAGGGAAAGCCCTCGTTACCCTAAACCCTAAACCCTAAACCCTAAACCCTCAACCCTAAACCCTAAACCCTAACCCTTCAATCATGGAGTTCAAGGGTTTAGGGTTTAGGGGCATAAAACCAGGGAGCCTTAATAAGGGAACTTGGTTTATAAGGGAATCTGTTGGGAATAAGATTCACAAAGGGGGGAAAGCATACCCTCCTGGGCTTGGGGTTCACAGAGTACTCGTTCGGCTCTACCCTAAACCCTAAACCCCAAACCCTAAACCCTAAAGAGCGACCAGGGTTTTGCATGGGCGTGTGGTTCAGGTCAAGGGGGGAGTTGAGGACCAACGGCCTCAGGCAGCGCGTCTGCTTGAACTCTCTGCCCCAGGGTTCAGGGCCCGAAGTTAAGATCTTGGCGTGCGGGGTTCTGAGATTCTGGATTTTGGTAGTCTGAAGCTTCTTGGGGCTTGTTCTCTTTTGCCTGGGGTTGAGCCTCTCACAAACTCGGAATGCGAGCGCCCATCGAAGTGAAACTCATTCCAGAAACCTGCCGAGGTACCGGCACCCCCGACAAACTGCATCATAAACACTGCTACAAGGCGACCATCAACTTGCTGGGTCAGGTCTTAAGATGCATTTAGGGGTTTTTTAAGTTAAAAAGCCTTAGCCCCAATGTCCAACTCAGTCAAGCATCAGGTCCACTCGCACAGGCTCTGTACCGATACCTGCTTGGAGTTTCATGGGCAGGCTATACGTACCCTAAATGGGGTTGTAAGTAGAATTACCAGAATTACCTTACTAAATAACCTCCCTTTTTATGAAGTGATTATAAGCAGGACTATACGTACCCTAAATGGGGTTGTAAGTAGAATTACCAGAATTGCCTTACTGAATAATCTTCCTAATAACTACCCATGAACCTTGCTTAACAACCTTCCTTATAACTACCCATGAACCTCCAAGTGGCGGGGAATCATCTCCAAGCTAGCCGTTCATCTTCGGTAGTATGTCGACATAGCTATCATTCGCTAGCAGTAGACCGGCCCATGATTCACTGAACATGTACACAAATTGCACACACGCAGAGGTACACACGCAGGTGAATGTGTGTTCTCACGCCCTTTATAACTCAACTCCACACCGCTCAAGCTCCTCCGGCGCCGGCCTGTGACCCCGATGGCCTTTCCTGTCTCGATCTGCGCATGCCGGCGGGTGGTGCCCGTGTGGAAAGAGATGATGGCACCTTAGCTGGAGCCCTTTTTGGGGTTTAGGGTTTCGGGTTTAGGGTTTAGAGTTTAGAGTTTAGGGTTTAGGGTTTAGGGGCCACCTTAGCTGGAGCCCTTTTTGGGCACGGACTGAGCCGGATCCGAACTTACTTCGCCGAAATCCTAAACCTAAACGACGCAATCCCTGAATGTCCGGAATGCTGCTATTATACCTTACACCTTCCTAAAATCCTCTAAACTTGAACTCTGCAAGCCTCGAGCTATGGCTATCGGCTGCAGGGCTTAGGAGGCAGCTCCTGGCGTGTCGGGGCACCTGGGGGCAAGTCGCCAGAGTCGATCACTGTTACCTGTCGCAGGCATCTTTAGGGTTTAGGGTTTAGGGTTTAGGGTTTACGGTTTAGGGCACGGGCTCAGGCCTATTCAATGTGTCTCACCACTGGTGCTGAGCTCCACATCTGCCAACTTGCCTATGGCAGTATGCAAACCCTAGACCCAAACGCAAGGTCCAGTCGCCTCCATGGCAGCAGGCAGGGTCCGCACCGAAATATTGTGCCGATCGGATCTTCAGCACGTGTCAGTTGGCGAGACGCTTGGGCCAACTGCTGCACACCGAATAGGACCTCAATTCCCTGCTGAGCGGTGCTGCGCGTCCCCAGTAGCAAGTGGGAATGTAAACCAAAAACCTACATAGCTACATGCAGCGAGCCTGAAGCTATGCACTCCCGTGCAGTCCTAGAAAGCCAACAACGTCGCACACGCACACACACACACACAGAGACAGACAGACAGACAGACAGACAGACAGACAGACAGACAGACAGACCGACGGACAGACAGACAGACAGACACACAGACACACAGACACACAGACACACAGACACACAGACACACAGACACACAGACACACAGACACACAGACACACAGACACACACACACACACACACACACACACACATCGCGCGCGCATGCCTCCTGTCTAAACGGTTGGACTTTGCTCTTAGTGTGCCAAATCTCGTCGAGCAGTCACCGAATGCCAGCCATGGTCTGCCCTAGTAATTCCTGCATGCTTTTCTGGGATGTTCACCCTTGTACTAACAGATCTTTCTAGGCACTATCATAAGGGGTACTATAATCCCTATTAAGGACTGTTTGCATAAAGGGGGGTGATCTCGGCATACTTTGTACAGAGTACCAAAAGATTCACAATTGTCAGCGGCGGATGATGATACAGCACTAAGAGAAAGATCACAGCAAGTAGTAGAAGCACCCGTATGAAGCAGAACAATAGACGGAAGAAGTAGCAATATCGCAGTAACGAGTCAGGTAGGAGAAGTGGCCGGCGCGGCAGATTGCTAACAACGCCTTATGGAGGAACCCTTAAACCCTAAAAACCCTAAACACCACACCCTAGACCCTAGACCCCAAGCCCTAAGCCCTAAACCCTAAGCCCTCAACCCTAAACACCAAACCCACGGTCACCCTGAGTCCAAGGTTGTCCCGGCAATCCACCTGGCGGCGGCGTAGATGAGCATGTCCTCTGCTGGGGGCAGCCAATGGGTCCATCACGACATAAGAGCCTGAAACCTAAACGAGGGGTTTAGGGTTTCGGGGGGTCTAGGGTTTGGGGTTTAGGGTTTGGGGTTTGGGGTTTAGGGTTTAGGGTTTAGGACAGCAAAGCCCAAAAATGCCCCAAGAGACTGAAGCCTCGTGGGTGTTGAGGGTTGAGGTACTCGTAGTTTCTGCAGGCTTTCCTAGGGGTACTGCGGCTCCTCGAAGATGCCAGACCCTAAACCCTAAACCCTAAACCCTAATCCTAAACCCTAAACCCTAAACCCTAATGTTGTATCCTGATTAGTGTGCTCCCCCGGAATTGTGGAAAAAAATCCAAAAATTATTCAGGGGGATCTATTTGAGGAGGACCCCCGGAATTGTGAAAAAAAATCGGGCGATGCAAAATTTCGGCGAGGCTGTCGAATGGTGTTGTCGTCCATAAATCGCTTCTGAACCGAGCCTGAGAGACCAAAGATCAAAGGTTTAAAGCCTGAAACCTTGAGGCCTGACGTTGTCGGGCCCTGAAATCTTCAGTCTCCAGGCCAGACCCAAAACTAAGATTTCCTTATTAAATTCTTTTGTACCGAGGCCGGGCAATCAAATTTCAAAGGGGGTAGTCCAGCAGCTGCCCGGATGCCGTATAATATAAAAGTTTGCTCCCCCGGAATTATATTTTTTTTGCGGGCTAGTTGGGTTTGGATCCAGAGGCCTAACGGCTGAGGCTTCCTAAACCTTGAGGCCTGAGGTTGTCGGGCCCTGAAATCTTCAGCCTCCAGGCCAGACCCAAAACTAAGATTTCCTTATGAAATTCTTTTGTACCGAGGCCGGGCAATCAAATTTCAAAGGGGGTAGTCCAGCAGCTGCCCGCATGCCGTATAATATAAAAAGTTTGCTCCCCCGGAATTATATTTTTTTTGCGGGCTGGCTTGGTTGGGATAGATGGATCCCCTTTAAATTCATATAAACTCATCCCTCTTAAAATCGTATGGATCCCTCTTAATTTCATATAGTCTCACCCCGTTTAGAATCATATGGATCCCTTTTACACTCATACGAGCTCATCCCTTTTAAAATCATATGGATCATATGGATCCCTTTTAAATTCATATAAACTCATCCCTTTTAAAATCATATAAAACCAGACCCCCCCCCCCCCCCAAATTGCCCCCCCCCCCCCCCCCCCTCTAAAGAGCGGGATCCTTTCGTTGAGGGGGGGGGGGGGGGGCCACACTAATCAGCAGACAACATTAAACCCTTCGAAGCCTGGCATGCTCTTCCCCTGTGACGACGGAGGCCAGAAGGCTCCAGGTCCAAAAACTCAAAACGTCCGTTCTGACCCACCACCCCCGGCTGCCGAAGTCTGATAAGAACCCAGTGAACAAGCCCCCTCACACTGCAAGCAACTTGTAAGAAACTTCACCCCTAAACCCTAAACCCACTTAAGCGAGCGCCCGAATTGTTAAAGGGCGCGCAACCAGAGCTCACCGAGCCCCAAAGGGCCGCTCCTGCCGGTTGAAGGCCGCGATCTGCCGCAGCGCGAAGCCCGGCAAGGTGCTCCGCAGCGCGCGGCCACGGGATCTTGCGCAGGGTGGTTTAGGGTTTAGGGTTTAGGGTTTAGGGTTTAGGGTTTAGGGTTTAGGGCCCAATCCGAAACCCCTAAACCCTAAAACCCCTCAGCATCCCTAGACCCTGCACGTCCCTATCCCGGAGCATCCCGAAGCATCCCCGCGACCCCAAGCCCTAGACCCTGAATGCCTGGTGCCTAGCCTGGGAAGGTTTAAGGTTTAGGGTTTGGGGTTTAGGGTTTAGGGTGTAGGGTTTGGGGTTTAGGGTTTGGGGTTTGGGGTTTAGGGTTTAGGGTTTAGGGTTTGGGGTTTAGGAAGATTCAGGGATGTCTGGATCATGTCATGACATTGAGCCTTCCTCGAGTTTCTGAGGAGGGAATTCGGGTCCCGTCGCTCTATGACCCTGAAGGGAGGATGGAGCCCAAGTCGGAGCTCTCAGGCAAAAAAACGGATCCGAAAAATAAGAAGGCAAGGCCTTCTTTGTCTGAGGCGGCGTCAAAGGGATCCTATCCCTAAACCATCAACCCTGGACCCTGGACCCTAGACCCCAAACCCGGAACCCTCCTGCAAAAAACGGGGGGAAGAAGGGTACTTCTTAGGGTCTTAGGGCTTAAGGCAGGTTGGGGTTTAGGGATTTAGGGATAAGAGATTTAGGGATTTAGGGTTTAGTTTACGGGTTTAGGATCGGATTATAGGATTTAGGGATTAGGGATTTGTTAGGGTTTTACGATCGAATTATAGGGTTTAAGGGTTTGGGTCTTAAAGACAAAATTTAGGGATTACAGGGTAGCGGGTTGTTGAAACGGTCCCGCCTAGCAACGTCCGCCGCGCCATGCAGGCGGCGTGGGTCCTCACAACATGGGCGTCTTGAACCCCCGATGATGCAGAGGCGGCAAGATTTGCATTTTGGGGATGTCAAAGGAGGACAGATCTGCCGCCTCTGTGCCGCACTCTCGGAAGAAATCCCAGCCGTAAACCCTAACCCTAAGCCCTACACCCTAGGTATTGTAAGCTACCGTGCACCTCCTCCGGAATGTCGGGTCAAGGCTTCGGGCAGGAGCTTTTGGAGGAGGTTTGCGATCTCAGGTGTCGTAAGGCTAAGAACACGTGTCGAGACCCTAAACCCTTTTGCAAATGGGCTTGAGGACCAGCCAGATTCATCTCCAAGCATCAGCATCTCACCCCATCGTCACGATGCGAAGGCAAGAGAGGAAAAGAACGTCCCAAAACAAGACCCATGAGGAGGCCTCACGACCATGTACCCTAAACCCTAAACCCTCAACCCTTAGATGGGGCTAACTGACTGATCCTTGGGGTTGGGTTGAGGTCCCGAGGCAAGGAGACTAAGGGCCTAATTCTTTTGAAGCATGGACTCTGAGGACGACGCCAGCACATCTCGGGCCTAGGTAAACCCTTTTGAGCCCTAAGCCCTAAACCCTACACCCTAAACCCTGTACCGTGTAAACCCTAAACCCTAAACCTGAGAAAAATGGAGTTCCATAGGCCTAAGGGATGCACCAAGACTCGGAGGCCCCCAAGCCAGGGAGCTCTCTAACCCCCTGAACTAGATAGGGTTTAGGGTTTGGGGAGGCCCAGAATGCCTGGGCCGCCCTCTCTACTCCCTCAAGCGTAACTCCGCACTTTGAATTCGGGTAATTGGGGTGTGCAGAAATCTGGATTGCCAAAGAGGCTGTGTTCGGGTGGGTCTGCCCCGTTTGCGCGAGGCAAGGTATGAAAAGCACTGTGTGAACAGCAGCCATGGATGAACAGGCAGCGGTTTAGGGTCTAGGGTCTAGGGTTTAGGGTTTTGGGTTTAGGCTTTCGGGTTTAGGGTTCATGTTCAAGACCCCAAGCAATCTGTTGGAGCCGATTTACTTTTTGGGGTTTATCTTAGGGTAGGGGATCTTTTTTTGGTCGGGATTCGAGCAGCAATTATTTGCATTCTCTCCTCAGGTTCTGAGAACTTCAAGCCTTGTTCGTCTTCACAGCTCGGGGTCGGCGGGCTAAAGCAAAAATGCAACCCCTCGTTGCACAAAGGCTCAAAACTATACTCCCCTTAGAACCACAGCTCAGGTGCGAGTCCTTTTTCCTTCTGCTGGTCATCACGTCCGGCTGGCGACCCCCTTCCCGACCGCATCTGCGTCGTGTGGGCCTTCTGCGTCATAAGCTGCATAAGCTCAAACATCCGCCGAGAGCGTCACGCAAAAACACGTGTGCTTGATGACTTTTGCGCGCCGATGCGCCAAGCAGTCCAACATACAAGTCGAGGCAGTGTATTCTACGGCCATGTGGCGGATGTTGTGAAACAGAGAGACACGCTGAAGCAGTGTCCATTCAATTCGCGCGACGTCGTTCAGTCATTGAAACGACAGAATGCGGCTGCAACACTCATCCATCTCCCTAAGGGTCCATGCGCCCATGGAGTATATATCTGGGCCCTAAAGCTACTGTATAAAAAACCCTTTCAAGGCCCAAGTATATACCATATGGGTACATGGACCCTCTGGGTCTTCTACAGGAAACGAATGGTTCAATGGCGGCGAAGTCGCCTGCCGCCACTCGGAACTGATATCTGGCCATCCTGGGCCCCAAGAAGCGCCAGAACCCCATCAAGGGGTCCGCCATTCCATGCGCCGAGAAGTCCTGTCCCTGGGAACATCCCTAAACCCTAAACCCTAAACCCCAAACCCTAAACCCTAAACCCTAAACCCTGAACCCTAAACCTCGAACCCTAAACCCGAAACCCTGAACATCAAGATCTTGGGACCCAGGCTGCTCAACAGAGCTACGAGACCCAACGGGGCGGAGTGGCCCAGTTGGCTACAGAGGGAGCTTCTTTCTCTCAGCTGCTCTCCTAATTTGCGGGTTCGGGTTTAGGGTTTAGGATTTAGGGTTCAGGATTTAGGGTATAGGGCTTAGAGCTTAGGGTGTAACACCAGAGCACCCAAAACTTAACAAAATACAATTCGGATTGCGGAAGTGTGTGGTATGTGGGGCGCTTCGGATTGCGATGGTTTTGTGATCTCCTGTCTCCTGCACACTTTGGGTTTAGGGTGCCGGGCGGGCAGTTCGCAAGACACTGGCACTGAGCCCCTCGCCAAGTGCAAGGCCACTTTGGGTCCCCCCAAGGCTTGGGCATCTCCTTCCTACACTGACCTGACAGATAATCTGCTGCATCTGAGGTCCCTGAAACCTAAACCCGCAAGCACACACCCTACAGCCCACAATCTGAGGAACCCCACCTTGTGGGTCCCCCCTCCCCCCCTCCCTAAACCGTACCCTAGACCGGACCCTAAACTGTACCCTAAGCCCTAAACCCTAAACCCTAAGCCCTAAACCCTAAACCCTAAGCCCTAAACCCTAAACCCCAAACCCTAAACCCTCTAGCTGGAGGTCTCCAAGCTTGGCCTCATCTCCGCACTCGGGCTGCCAC